TTGTCAATTGCACACAACCTTTCCTCTCCTTTTAGTCGAGATCTTTGAACCTCGGATTTATAGTCGAGCCCACTTTGTCACCTCATGCCAAACCCACTTTATAGCTCTGTGTGGGATCGCTTTTGGGAAAATACACCCACTACGCGGTAAGGGGCTTTAGCCAGATAAGAGATTCCTATGAACATCTGACCTTTCTTCTTACATTAAGCTCCCCGTCGCCATTTGACGATCTGTCTGTTCAGGCGGGTGACAAGGAATTTAGTACGGAATCAGAGAAGGGGGACAACAACGTCAAAGAAAGAGTGATAAGAGTTGAAACCTCTCAGACATCCACCAAGCCATTAAGCCAGTGTAGAACATGGGCTGCTGGACAGAGTGCTTCCCGATGAGATCCTTTGAGACTGAATGCTTTGAGTTGGGTTCCTTTCAAAAGACAGATCGGGAAATAGCTAAATTAACCCTAAACTTGCTTTCGTTTTTGCTTAATGGTATATAGGTGAACCTGAACCAGGTCGAATCTTTTCTCTTCCTGACCTAACGAACGAAGCGTCGCGAAGTGAAGTCATAGATAAAGAAGTAAGGTCGGTACTAGGAATCTATCAATATCCATCCGGGAATAAAGAAAGAATCAATGCGGCGAGCAGTCCACTGATTATTATAGTCTCGAGACTGCCTTCCCTAATCGAATGTGAGGCCTAGGGATCCCTACTGCTAGTAGTCAGAGTCTCCCCTGCTATGTCTGTAGCAAAGTCCAGCGCTTTCCTTGCTATTTCCCTGTTTTCTCTAATCTACGGGGATCGCTCTAAATAGCTTTTGTAAAAAAGAGTGACATCCACCCCCGATGCTTCCTCTTATCGAATGAAAGCTTCTTCACCTCTGCTCTGAAACTAGGGCATTCCTCCGTAGGGCAATCGTGCCCTTAGCTTCTGTGCTTGCAGTCTGCCATAGAGGTGGGAGGGGAAGGAGGTTCAAACTAATCACCATGAAACTAGTACCCGTAGTGCCCGTTGCTGACTTGGAGGAGAATGAAAAAGCCCGATTCGATCAGTGATCGTATGGGGAATAGATTGGACTGCTTCCTCGTTTGAGGCTGCCCGCTCCGTAGCCTATTGTCTTGGGAAAGTGGCCTGAGAGTGCTGTGACAAAGACAGATCTGCTAGAACGAGTGCGGTCATACATTCTTTCCCCCCAAGGGCAGAAGGGGGCAATTCCAGTCGATTTCTCCTCTATCGCAGCATCCTTCCTCGGAAATGAGGCCGAACATAAAATCCAAATTTCCTTTCGTGCTTTGCTCGACGCTCAGCTGTGACAGATTTCTCTCCACAGTTCCCAAAATTACACCAGTTGGGTAAGGCTGTAACCCACAAGGTCTCGCTCGGATGACTAATCTCATGGTTAGTCAAAGGGGGGCTAAAAAGGTTCATCTAGTGAGGTGGTCTGAGGGACATGGCTCTCCTATCGGCACATTCATCCATCGTATAGAAAAGGCGACCTTCTTGCGAAGAAAAGACCTCTTTCTTTATCCTATGTCGCGTATTAAACAACCAGCCTAGCCGCCGGCTGAACGGCAAAGAGAATCTCGTTCCCGGCACGACCGGCTTCGAAGAAAAGAAAGCACCAGGCTTAGAACGACCCGCCTTAGCAGTCAAAGGTTCGAATCCGTCATTGGCCTGTCTAGATGCAGAAGACTTCCAGCTCTTATTCCGACAACAGCTTCTCAAGCAGGGGATTCCATCAAGAAGAGTGGATTCTGGGTATCTGGGCTACGCTAAACCTTTTCCTTTTCTTTTGCGGACCTCTGAGGAGGAAGGATTTGATGTTAAGACTGGATAAACATCTAAGAGCTTCTTCTGTGCATTTGCTTTGGCATTTGTCCCCTGCGCATTCCATTCCGAAAGTCAGTGCCACAGTCTGCAGCCTATTCTCTTCCTTGCGTGGTATATCTTTACTAGGGTAATCAAGGTGACCGATTACAAAATCGTCATCCGAATCGCTGGAAGAAGAAGGCAGAACCAAAGGTCAATGTAATCAAGGACTCCTTAGTTCAGTCAGATCCGCTACTACGGGAATCCCCTTTCCTCCGTCTTAGCGGTACTCATGCATATCCACATCCAGCTTCGATTCCTAGTGGAACCTCATTCCGAGGCTGTTCTTTATCACGGCTTCTTAAACGCATGAGGCACTTCATGCCCAAGTCTGCCATGGCAAAACGAGAACCTCCCAAGAGACTAGAGGTCTCGCAGAGCCATACTCTACACCAGAACGCAAAGACATACAAAAAAACCCCCTTTTCTCAGGCCTGATGCTACCGCTGCATCATCTGCCTTTCTTTCCCTGCTGCCCGGTATTCCACTATCCCAGGTCTTGCAGAACCTCGTGCGCCCTCGTGTGGAACCGGTACGAGGGAAATAATCAAGCTTAATCAATCACCCCAACCAATTGGGCTTGATTATTTGGGGTGATTGGTTGGGGTGATTGATTAGGCTTGATTATTTCCTTTTTCTATTAAATGCTTTATTCATGTGATTAAATATGGCCTATTATCTTGTTTGGTTGAAAAGTCATTATAATCATTAAATAGATACAATTACATTTCTATCCTTCATTTACAATTGAATTTGCAAATTGTACCTTCCAAGTTCCAATTCCAAATCCAAAAAATAGCAGTAAATTCAACATACAAAATCACAATTTATTTTTTTTTTTTTTCGGTAGCCCAAAATCACAATTCTTTGATAAAATACTTGTGAACTAAAAATTATAGCTTCGTGAAGATGAAGGAGAATGGGTCAAGTAATTCTGATTTATTCGCGTGAAGGTGAAGGAGAATGGATCACTCACCCAAAAAAAAATAAAAAAAAAAAATTGAACCAACAAATTTGTATCAAATGAATTAATTAAGGGTTTCTTCAACATAAAAAGCAGATAAATTGGACGAAAAATTAGAAAAGGAAATAACAAAACAACTGTGTTTTCATCTTCTATTCCTCGACTCCATCTCTGTTTTCAGCGACCTGTTAATTTTTTTTCACTTTTATAATCTCCGCCGTTGTCGAACTCCACCTTAATCGAACCCAGACCAGGCGGCGGACGGATCTCCAGCAGACACGAGACCCTCGCGCACCTCCTCGACTAGTCGTTGCCTTTTGGATTCGCCACCCAGAACTCCCCCATCTTCGTCGTTACTTGAGGAAGAAAACACCCCCCCAATTAAACGAAAAAAACGAACAAAAAAAAAAAAGTTGGGGTATTTACGGAAATTTTGAAGAAAAAACATAAGTTATTACATAACCCATGTAGGAGGTGGGATAAGATATAAGTAAAATGTGTGATAAAAAACCGGGCTTTTGCCTAATTCAAGGGCTTATATATTTGAACCAAACACTATAATAGGCAGGAAATATTAGAAAATTTTGTGATATCACTCCTTATCACTCCAACCAATCACACCCTAAATTGATCTTTATGCCTATTCTTTAGTTTAAACCTCAATCACTTGTAATCATCATAGTCATAGATATTTGATGGTTATGTTGTGCTTGAATTGGATGTGTTTCACTCATTAAAACATCTGCTCGTTAGAATGGCGACTAATGTTTATTGAAAACACGTGTAGTGGCATCTTGATCTGAAAAATTGCCCAAGTCCGGTAAAAAGTTAAAAAACAGCAATTTACCTACCAATAGTGTGAAGAAAGAACGCAAGATTGTAAGAGCAATATTGTGTATCACTGCAACTTTTGATGTGAAGAGTGGAAGCAGAATCGCGATATGTAAACTAAACACACTTCTTATGTGGGTTTTGAATTGAGATTTTTCTTTTCTTATCTAAGCTCTCCATATTAATTTTCTTCTTATGTAAGCTTTAAATTGAGAATTTTCTTTATTGTTCAAGCTCTCAATATTATTAATTTACATGGCTGACTTGTTTTTGGTGGTAGTTTCCATTCAATTTCACATTCAAAATTCTCTCCCATCCCTATCACTTTATTATTATTATTTTTTTCATTTATCAAAATCATGAAATATTGACGTTAACACGTTCACGCTGAGTCTCCCTCGTCTTGCATCAAATATACAGGTGGCACCCTAAAGAGGATAAGGACTAGTTTGAAATACTTGTGCCCATCTGAGCATATACCTGCAAAACTCGAAGTGGATGTGAGCAATCTCGATATTGGAGACAGCATATCCATGCACGCCGTTGTGGTTCATCCCAGCTTGAAGCTTCTCAGTAAGAACGAGACCATGCCTGTTTGCAAGATTATGGCAACAAATTTAGAATGCGTACAAAATACATAGCAGAAAATCAGGAATCTGCCATTTTTGGAAAATGCGAGGTCGTTGTTCAAGCTCACAATGCTATGGAATGTTCCTTTGTTCTAATATGTTTAGGAGAGTTTTTTAGGAGGTTATTCAGACAGTTATGTTTGTTGCTGGTGATATGTATGAATCGGCCCATGTTTTTACCTACTCATATCTTTGTGACTTGAGGTCAGTATACATTGCCATTTGAAGTTCATACTAAATGAAACCTGCTATATTTCTTCCCATAATATTTTGTGTTTATATTGGAAATGTAATCTCTAGTTTATTAATGATGTTTATTCAATTCATTCTTATGGGAGATGCTATGGTCCCCGAAACAATTCCGTCGGGGTTTGTAACTGTTAGATCATCATGTAACCGTCGAGAATAGTTGGTCTAACGGTTACAACCCCGACCGAATGGTTCCGTAATGAGACTGTAGCATTTCCCTTCATTTTTATCTGTGTGCTGTGTTTGGGTTGAAGTTTACTTTAATCTCACCCATCTAAAGAAGACTTCACCATCAATTCTCAATCTTCTAACTGGAGTATAGGAACTTTCTCCTATAGCTATAAATAGCAAAAGCAAGTTTATTTTTCACATGAAAATATTTCAATTATTTGTTAGAAATTTGGGAACAAGTGATATAAAGAGCTGCAATCGACAATTTTCCTAGAATAGCTTTATTAATTACCGTTGCATTTTGCTTGTAACTTTATCTTGTTTCGAATATATTTTGCCATAAAATAAAATAAAAGGTGACGATAAATTAGGAAAAAAAAAAAAAAAATAAGAAATCCACTTTCTCTTGTTTTAAGGTTTTTTTAAAAAAGGGAATCATTTCACGGCCATCGGCCAATCGTCGTCCAACGGCGTTTTGCAGCGTTTTTCCATTTGCAGGCACAATTCTCCGGTTAACCCCGACCAGGGAGAGAGGGGTTAATCTTCTTCTACCTACGCCATGCCAGTTGGGCAGTCCTCCAATTTCTCGTGAAAAAAACAAACAAACCATGCACTGGTGGCAGGGTGCCTTCTCCTCCTCCTCCTCGTCCAAGAGGCATTCCGATGACGACAGCGTCATCGTCTCCGATGGGAGGTACTCCGTCAAGGCCGGATTTTTATCCGGCCGGCGGACCCGCAACCGTGGCCGCTCGAGGAAAGTGAGGTACGTGTCGGAGAAGGACGATTACCCGTGGAGGTCCCCCAGCCGCTCGGACCATTCCGTGTCGGCCAGGTCTCCGGCGCCGGCGCCGTCCAAGCCTCAGCCCTTGCCGATGCCCGAGCTGCATGTTCTGCTGCGGATGGACCCCAAATTCGCTTCCCCGAGCGTGCCTCTGCCTTCATTCCGAGGTGCCAATCAGAATCAGAGGGGAGGGTATGAGGAAAGAGAAAGAGACAGGGATATGCAAACGGCGGAGACATTGAGCGAGGATGAGATTGACGGGCTGAATGGGCTCAGGAGGTATCTTTATCAAACAAACAATAACTTGCCTGATTTGTCGTAATTTTTATTCCTAATTTGTCGTGTGTTTGGCCTTCTTTTTACAATGTATAAGCTGTTTCCTCATTCACCTTTTGAATCATTGCAAAGCTTGGATTTCATGGCAATGTTATAACTGCAACTGGAATTTTGCTAATCTTCTGTGTAGCCATTGGTTTGCTGGCAGAGAAATTGGGGCAATTTGTGCTTGCAGTTATCAATTCTAAACCCTATTTAACTCTGCCTACTCGCATCGCATGACGTTTTATTGCTATGATATGATAATGTAGCAACCTTTAAATTGTTGTTCTGCCACTACATTGACTTCATGGTAAACATAATGCTTTAGATGTGTTAAACTTAAAACTCTGTGTTACTACTTTGTGAGGCTAGGCTGTATTTCTTTTCTTTTCTTTGTTTTGGCGTTCACAAATGAAAACGGTGGGAAGAATAATTCTCTTTCCTTGTTCCTTTTATTCCAGAATCAGCAGATTACATGGCCAAACCTCCCAGGCAAACACAGAACAGCCTGAAACCCGACCCTGCAGATGTAAAAAAAGCTCTGCACGCAAGCATACCCCAAAATCCCAATCACCCTATGGCTACAGGATCAATGTCCCCATCAGTGCCCCCACTAGTCCTTACTCGAGCCCGGCCCTGAGCCCGCCCGGCCCTGACATGCTGGCGTCTCATTACATGACCCCACCCAGCGTCTTCCACGTCTGGTCCGCCCCTGAGATCCCCTACTCGGCCCAAAACTGCTTCTTCCAACATACGCCCTTCGAGGTCTTGTCCAGCGTTGACAGCTCTCCGCTCCAGAGCCCCACTGTGGGGCCCGCGTCCCCTCTTCCCGGGATATTATCCCCTGAATCGCGGCGTGAAGGTGGCGGTGGCGGTGGCGTGCATCCACTGCCACGTCCCCCTGGGAGTGGGACCGCCGCCGGTCAGCCCTCGCCCACGGCTTCTGTTTCGCCGTCCGCCTCGAGGTCAGATTTCTCGGGGGCATCCAACTGTGGAACAGAGATGGATTTTCCGAGAGGCAACATCACCCCACCGCAGCTGTCGCCTATCGCGCAGGTCGCCGGAAAACCGAAAGTGATGCCGATAAAGTCCAGGTGGCGCAAAGGGAAGCTGATCGGGAGGGGAACGTATGGGAGTGTGTATGTGGCTTCCAACAGGTATGTGTTTGGTAGTGGTATGTTCTTTGGGAAGGGATGGTGTAGGAACTTCATCACGTGCCATTAGTTAAGCTAAGCGAAATTGCTAAAAGAGTAACACAACTTTTCTTCTTACATCTTTACGTTTATATTCCTCGAATCCTGAACATTGGAAATAGCCAGGAAGTGAGGTTGAGATTATATTTATGTGTGGATATAGGTGTAGTTTCTAAAATCTTTTTCATGGCATAAGCAGATTCTGATAGCTTCACTAATGATTAGGGCAAAACATGAGATGTAATCACAGGTACAGATGTGGTTTTTGTAAGTTTTAAGAGTTGGCCGAGTCTACTTGTAAATAACGCATTTCATGGGTAGTTTCTTTAACTTTTTATTTTCCAATTTAATATATTTTTTTTTTATTGTACCTGTGCATTGCTGTGAACAGAGAGACTGGAGCATTATGTGCAATGAAGGAGGTTGAAATTTTACCAGATGATTCGAACTCTGCAGAGAGAATGAGACAGTTGGAGCAGGTTGGGTTCAACTTAAGTGCTTGTCATCATATTCCATTTATTCACCACTCATTCTATTCTATTCGCTGGATAATTCCGCCCTCTATGACTCAATTACATCGACCCTCACGCCAACTGTTTTTTAATCGGGTGTAATGGAAATTTGTTGATCTTTTTCTATCATGCTCGTTGTGGGTGTCTAAATAACATGAATACCTTTTGATTTCGTAAAATTGTTGAATATGGCTTTTTAAAAGTTGATGGAGGGAAATAGGCCTTGGACATGAAAAAAGTTTTAAGACGGTCATCCCTACAGTTTTGCTACCATGTGTCTGGAATACTAACTTGCTTCTGGTGATTAGTTGTGATTTTCTCTTACCGTAAATTTCTTAAATTATATTAGTGCTATTTATATTAGTGCTTAGTAGCACCAATACAACCATAAATTTCTTATCTGTGGATTTGATGATGCCTAATAGTCATAAGTTCTGTTTCACGAGACAAGCTGCAAATTTTTCTGGGTGAATTTTAGACTTGATTGCATTTTTCTTGCTACATCTAAAGTATCAATTTTAGGACCTCACTCTGATGGATCTTAATCTGTTTCAGGAAATTAAAGTTCTCAGCCGTCTGAAGCACCCAAATATTGTGCAATATTTCGGTAGTGAAATTGTAAGTGATTCTTTCAATTTATTTATTATCTGCCCCCACAAAAAAACCATCAGTTTGGTAACCATGTTGCATGATGGGGTCTCACTTAACATTCATGCAGGTCGAGGACAAATTCTATATATACCTGGAATACGTTCATCCTGGTTCAATAAATAAATTTATCCAAGACCATTGTGGAGCTATTACGGAATCTATCGTTCGCCATTTTACTCGTCATATCCTATGTGGGTTGGCTTATTTGCACAGCACGAAAACCATCCACAGGTATTACTTTGTTCTGTTGTTTTATGTCCCAGAGGACCATGAAATTTTTTTCAGTTCAATTTGTTGCCGAAACATGTTCTATTTCAACTCTCATGACCAGATATTATGTTTTATGTAATTATTTTTCAGAGAGAAACTTTGTGCCTTGGATTTGTTTGATTCTTTGAAAATCTTACGTTTTCAACAAAGCCAATGTCGAGAGAATAAACTTGTGCCTTGGATTTGTTTGATTCTTTGAAAATCTGACGTTTTCAACAAAGCCAATGTCCGAGAGAATAATCATGTTCTGGGAACAGAAAAATTAAATAATCAAGCATGCCTGCATTACAATTTAAGTTATTATCTTGGGGCCACTCAAAGTGTCATGGTTTGATTAGTGGTTTTTTTTGTAGAGACATCAAAGGTGCTAATTTACTTGTTGATGCGTATGGAGTTGTCAAGCTAGCTGACTTTGGGATGGCTAAACATGTACGTCTTCATTCGGTACTTCTGTTGATATTTGAGCTGCTCTATTCATTGGTCTGTCATTGCTGAACGAAAAGTTTTCTGTTTGTTACATGCAGCTCAGTGGGGAAGCAGCAAATCTATCATTGAAGGGTAGTCCGTATTGGCTGGCCCCAGAGGTGTTTAAACATAATAAGTATTCGAATTTTGTATTTTGTTTTCCCTTCAATAGTAAAACTATTGCTCTCACAATCTAACGTCACTTCATTCGTGTTTCAGTTGTTGCAATCTGTGATGTCAAAAGATGCCAGTACAGATGTTGCTTTAGCCGTGGATATATGGAGCTTAGGCTGTACCATTATCGAGATGATGGATGGGAAGCCTCCTTGGAGCGAGTATGAAGGGGTAAGCAGCTGTAATTCCAATAATAATGATTTTTAGTAAATAAACGAATTAGTTAAAACTCAACTTAGTTCTGACAAAGCTCAGTGCAATGATCTGTAAGGAAGTGATATTAGTCCATATTTGGTTCATTTTCGTGCCTAGCCTAGAAACGACATTGTTTTGAGCGAGCTTCCTTTTCATGGAGTTCCTGTGAATTTTTTGTTCCGTCGTCACTTCAATGTACAAATGTT